AACTCCAAAAAAATTTGGAAGCTGTAGAGCTGGCTCGTTCCAAAGTTTAATAGATACAGCCGACTCCTGATAACTCAAACCTTCAAGGGAAATCAAAAGAAGGTTCGAGTTATCGGGAGTTTGAAGAAAATAGCCGAGAGTAAGGTAAAAAACAGTTTTTACTGCACAGTGAACATTTTAATCACACGAAATTGTAGAAATGTCAAGTGAAAATTAAAAGATACTTGACTTCTAGATTATAAATCAGAATGTAACGTAACAAAACATGGCCTAAAATAATAGAACATGCGTTTTACTGTTTTGAGAAGAAAAGCCTCTTCACGTTAGCCTGTGACAATCAATGTAAGCCTCCACTTGTAAACTATACTCCCACAACACGTCAATAGGAAATCCAAAATTCAATGTTTCGGATGCCAGTAGACGGCTTTTTTCCCAACTTTTTAAGGGTTCAAAACATGGTTCGAGTTATCGAGGATAAAATTATATAGAAATGACCTGAGGGGAAATGAAAATTGGTTCGAGTTAGTGGGAGTTCGAGTTATCGAGGGTAAAATTACAGTGAATGTATGATGGAAATCCAGGGGAAATTGATTTTGGTTCGAGTTAGTGCGAGGTTTGAGTCAGCAAGGGTTCGAGTTATTGTGAGTCGACTGTATTAACAATAGATAACCAGCTCAATCCAAAGAAAACACTTAGCGGTCACATTTGATTACATTCTTTTTAGCCTACTTTTAGCCTTCTTTTAGCCTACTGGCGAATGTGCAATGCACTTCGACTAGGAAGCGAAGTGTGTAACTGATACCGGCTAGCTATTTCACCGATTTGGAGAAGAAGGAGCACAAATGTTTAAAAAAGTCTACAATCTTTATTCTGCATTTTGCACCCAGCCTGCGTTTGACTCTCAGTCTGCAGTCTGCATTTTACACTCAGTCTGCAGTTTACCCCTGGTCCGCANCCTAACCTGGAATTATTATGATGCAGCATGAAAAATCCACGGAAAAGAAACTTTCCAGCAAATGACATCTGTTGAGATAATTCAAAGATTTAGCACCTAACATTAATAAATTTATGGCATAATATGGACATCGGACTTGCCAAGTCTCATTGTCATGAGTCTCACGATTTCATGACCTGCTCTGTATCTCACACTCTGACGAGTTGGGTACTGATTTCTCCACTTTCTCAAAAAGTCAAACTCCAAAAAAATTTGGAAGCTGTAGAGCTGGCTCGTTCCAAAGTTTAATAGATACAGCCGACTCCTGATAACTCAAACCTTCAAGGGAAATCAAAAGAAGGTTCGAGTTATCGGGAGTTTGAAGAAAATAGCCGAGAGTAAGGTAAAAAACAGTTTTTACTGCACAGTGAACATTTTAATCACACGAAATTGTAGAAATGTCAAGTGAAAATTAAAAGATACTTGACTTCTAGATTATAAATCAGAATGTAACGTAACAAAACATGGCCTAAAATAATAGAACATGCGTTTTACTGTTTTGAGAAGAAAAGCCTCTTCACGTTAGCCTGTGACAATCAATGTAAGCCTCCACTTGTAAACTATACTCCCACAACACGTCAATAGGAAATCCAAAATTCAATGTTTCGGATGCCAGTAGACGGCTTTTTTCCCAACTTTTTAAGGGTTCAAAACATGGTTCGAGTTATCGAGGATAAAATTATATAGAAATGACCTGAGGGGAAATGAAAATTGGTTCGAGTTAGTGGGAGTTCGAGTTATCGAGGGTAAAATTACAGTGAATGTATGATGGAAATCCAGGGGAAATTGATTTTGGTTCGAGTTAGTGCGAGGTTTGAGTCAGCAAGGGTTCGAGTTATTGTGAGTCGACTGTATTAACAATAGATAACCAGCTCAATCCAAAGAAAACACTTAGCGGTCACATTTGATTACATTCTTTTTAGCCTACTTTTAGCCTTCTTTTAGCCTACTGGCGAATGTGCAATGCACTTCGACTAGGAAGCGAAGTGTGTAACTGATACCGGCTAGCTATTTCACCGATTTGGAGAAGAAGGAGCACAAATGTTTAAAAAAGTCTACAATCTTTATTCTGCATTTTGCACCCAGCCTGCGTTTGACTCTCAGTCTGCAGTCTGCATTTTACACTCAGTCTGCAGTTTACCCCTGGTCCGCAGTCT